ATAGTCTATAGAAGATGAAAATAAGGAAGAACCTAGACGTAGCAAAAGAGTTTGAACGTCTAAGTCATTTGGTCCTGATTTTCTAACATATATATTGGAGAATGAGCCACAAAGCGATAAGGAAGCTATATCTTCTCCTGAAGCTCATTTATGGAAAGAAGTCATAAATAGTGAAATTGAATACATCATGCAAAATCGTACTTAGGAGTTGGTGGATCTTTTTCTTGGTACTCAACCTTTAAGGTATATTGCCACCGGAATGGTTGCCACAAGCCCCATCATAGATTTGCTTTAATATTTCAAGTGCCTCAGTAGGGCTTAAACACTTCAGGTAAGGACCTGAGAATGACTTTCGATACAACTGATTATTTATGATTGAATACCTGGCTGCGGTAAGTCTGAGTTTCCTTGCCTCGGCTTTTTGGTTATGAAGAGTCCCATGCCTTAGGTATGCTTCCAACGGATCCATCCAGCATGGCTCTCGTGGAATTTCTCGGATCACCATTACCTCCTGCTGAGGGCTTATGCTAGGTGGGTCCAGTATGTCAATTGGTCCTATCCGGACCAAATCCTCGTCTAAAGAAGATGCTGCTATGGCCAATTTATCTGCTTCAACATTCTTATCATGGGGTACTTGATGGAATTCAATTTGATCAAATCCTCGTGTAGCATTCTCCATAGCCTCTTTGTATGCTTTCATTCTCTCCTCTTTGGGTTGATACTTGCCTGTCACTTGGTTCACAATGAGTTAAGAGTCACTAAAAACCTTTAGACACCTTACCTGGAGCTGATTTGCGAACCGAAGCCTGGCAAGAAAAGCCTTATACTCGGCTTCCTTGTTAGTAGCAGGAAAAGTTAGGCAAATTGATTACTGTAGCTTGGTACTTTTAGGGGTTGTTATATCGATACCAACTCTGGCACTAACAAGGTTTGAGGAGCCATCTACCCGAAGCTCCTATTGTGGTTCGAGAGGATCTGGCTCTTCGGGCTTATCTTCATACTCAAGGAGGAAGTCAGCCAATGCTTGTCCTTTGTGTGATACCTTCGGCTCATAAGATATATCGAAGGAACTGAGTTCGATTGCTCACTTAGTTATTCTTCCGGATAAGTCTAGCTTGGAAAGAAAAGCTCGTATGGGATAGTTGGTCAGAACTATGATGCTATGCGACTCAAAGTAGTGTTGAAGCATCTGTCATTGTCTTGCTTGTGTAGAAAACTGGATACTGATTTTTCCTTTCCTCTCTGATCAGGACGGCACTTGTGGCTATGCCAATTATTGCTAAATACATAATAAGAGTCTCACTAGGTTTTGGAGTAGATAAGATTGGAGGTTTAGCCATGTAACACTTCAATTGATTGAGAGCAACTTGTTGTTGAGGTCCTCAAATATCCTTGTTCTTAGATCTTATCGCATCAAAGAATGGTTTGCACTTATCTGATAATTGAGAGATGAAGTGGCTAAGAGCTGCGATTTGGCCAGTTAAAACCTGCACTTCCCTGTGAGTTTTCAGTTCCTGATTCTGTATAAGGGCCCTAGCCTAGGCTGGGCTCACCTCTATTCCCCTCTTGTTAACAATATGGTCGAGGAACTGCCCTGAAGAAACTGCAAAAGAGCACTTCGAAGGGTTCAGCTTCATGTTATACTTTCTCAAAGTGTCAAAGACTTTTTGGAGGTGCTTGGGATGATCCTCCTTCTTTACATTCTTGACCACCATGTCATCGATGTAGGCTTCAACCGTCTTTCCTAACATCTCATTAAAGATCTTGTTAACAAGGCATTAGTAAGTGGCTCCAGCATTCTTGAGTCCGAAGGGCATGACTCTGTAACAGTAAGTGCCTTTCTTTGTTATGAAGGCAGTTTTCTCTTCATTTTCTGGATTCATAGGGATCTAGTTATACCCGGAGTACGTATCAAGAAATGTGAGTCTTTCATAGCCAGTGTTAGCGTTGACCATCTGATCAATTTTGGGTGCTGGAAAACTGTCCTTTGGGCAAGCTCTGTTTAGATTGGTAAAATCTATGCACACCCTCCATTTTCCATTCTTCTTCTGTACTACCACCACATTAGAGAGCCATTGTGGATAGTGCACCTCTTGGATGAAGCCTGCCTGAAGCAATTTATTTACTTCTTCAGCAATAATTCGATTGCGCTCAGGAGCGAACCTTCTGTGTCTTTGCTTGACTGGTTTGAATGTCGGATCCTTCTTTAGGCTATGACATGAGATTGAAGGATCGATTCCTACCATGTCTGAATGATCCCAAGCAAAAGTATCTGCGTTCCGCCTAATGACATTAATTAATGCTTCCTTTTCTTCAGTTGTGGGAGAAGAGCCTATATAAGTTACTTTCTGAGGATTGTTAGGGATTACTTTAACAGTCTTGAGGGATTCCTCAATAAGCTTTGTAGCTTCAGCTTCATTCTCTGCCTTCAGGTACTTGGGCAGAGGGTTTTGTAATTGCTATTTGGACATACTCCCAGGAGTCGCAACTGATTGAAACTACCTATCCATCTTCTTCGCTTCATTCCGTGTCAACATGTTACATTCGTTGGTAGCGATTTGATCTCTCCAAAGATTAATAACCTCTTTACCGTTCGGAGACAAACATCACATCACTTGATGAAGGGTAGATGGAACCCCGTTCATTCGGTGGATCCAGCCTCTTCCCATAATAAGATTATAAGAAGGATGGATCTCCGTTAAAATAAAGTTCTCCTTCAGTGTCCTTTTGCTGTGGTAACGGATAGGTCAATTACCCCGAAGGGGTCCACCTTTGTGCCATCAAACCCCATCAAGGGACTGGACGTGGCCAAATTGATGATGATGGAATCTCCAGTTGCTCAAAGACCGCCTTTGTGATGATATTGGCACTACTACCTGGGACTATCAAAACCCTTTTAATCATACAATTCACCACTAAGAGACTGATGATCAACAGATCCTCGTGGGGGAGTTGAACTCTGGATAGATCTCCATCGCCGAACCCAATACTGATACTACCCGAAGTGATAGTATTCACTAAGGATAACCTTCTTAGCTTATGGGTTGTCCTCAGTCTGGATCTATATACCTCCTCTGACTCTTGATCATCCTCCGAACTTCCATGTAGTGCATGGATGACCTTCACTTGATTACCTTCAACTTTCCGAGGATTGACCTCCCGGGGCTTCACGTACTCCTTTGTTGTGAGGTAGTCTGCCAATTCACCTTTCATTATCATGTTTTCCACTTGCCGCCTAAGGGATCTGCAATCATTAGTTGTATGCCATAATCTCTATGGTAGGCGTAGTGCTTGTTCTTATCCCTCTGCTCCAAAGGTTACTTCATTGGCTGAGGGGCTACGAACCTCATCTTATTTTCTTAGAATAGCCGAGCCAAGGTTGTGTGAAGAGGCGTGAATCTCTCCTCTGTCCTTTGCCTTTTCTCAGGTACCTGAGTGACTGGTGTTAAAGCGTGCTGGTTTTTTCGGCTTTTTGAATTTGAAACCCTTTCCTGAGGCTTGTTCTCTACTGTGACAAGGGTGACATGTTGCGCTCGGTGGGCTACATTCTCCTCAAGTCGGATATAGATCTGTGCCCTAACATTGAGAGTTTGCATATCTAGAGGGGAATATTTAACTAGGGACGTATAGAACTTGGTTCCCTGAATCATTGCAAGCTTGAACGTTTCTATTGTGGTAGCAGGATAGCAATCTGCTATTTCCGAAGCCTCCATGTTAAATTTGGATAAGAAATCCTATAATGTTTCGCCTTTCTTTTACCTTATGGTGAAGAGGCTAGCAATACTCTTTTTTTGCTTTTTGTTTCCGCAATACTATGCTAGGAACATAGTGCACTGAGTTTCATAGTCCAGAATAGATTTGTGTGGCCTATTCCTGAACTAATCCAACGCAGCTCCTGTTAGACTGGTAGGAAAAACTTTGCACATCCATGGATCGTTGTGATCGTCCAGAGCCATCTTTTGTGCATAGTGATCTAGGTGTCGAGAAGGATCTCCTGTACCATCAAACTAGATAAAGGAAGGTATATTGAATTTCTTAGGTCTATCAACAAGGTATACATCATCAGTGAATAGAGTCTTCACTAATGAGTTCTTATGCTCTTTGGCCATCCCGGCGGGCATTTGAACTCTTAGGAGTCTTTTTTCTGCAAAGGCCTCCTTTACTCATGCACCATCTAGAACGCCATTAGACCATACCGTAAGCTTACGGCTAGACTCGGCCTGTTCGTCCTACGTGCAATGAGGAAGATTATCTGAAGCAATAGCCTTGGTCCTTTTCCTCTGCTCTTGCTGAACTTCATTGGGCCACGCCCCATTGACCTGAGGCTCGTTATCCTGAGGAGCATTTTGGTTGGGAAGAGGCGCGGCCACATCTACTAGTGGTGGCTGTGGTGTCAATTGAGCCATAGCCATTTGAAGGGTGTCGTTTTGCTGTTAAAGCAATACAATCTGGGCTATGCTGGTTTCGTTCGCCTGACAAAGTGTTTCAAATTGGTGCAAGAACTCTTCTCGCATCTTTTGCATTAACTCCATTTGCTGATCAACTGCCGTTGCAGATCCTCCGTTCGACATTCCAGATCATAGTAATAGAAATGATTTGAAACAACAGTGGGAGTATATTTCTATACGGTTCCCACAGATGGCGCCAAAGTGTAGGTGCAAAATTTCTCTCTATTAAAATAAATAAAAAGAAAAATATAACTCACTAAAAAACAAGCAATTATAATACTCAGAGAAAAGCGTATAATGCTCGATGATTTTATTGGAGGTCTAGGCCTCTATTTATTTACAAAAAGGTGGTAGAATTATGGTAGGACTCACATTGCTTGTCCTCTAATTCTTCCCACACATAACATTATTTACAAACAGAGTTCTTTCCTTTTTACAATTCCTTCTATGCCAGATCTTTTGCCTAGTAGGACTGGTCTTGTTCTTTAAATAAAGTTGGGCTGAATGTAACGAACTTGGGCCGAATGTATATTGATCTGAATGTCAATATTAATGGGCCAGAAACTCAATTTTAACGACTTTGGGCTGTAGGTACCTTTATCTGGGCTTGAACAGGATCGGGCTCTTGCAACTCGTAAAGGAAGTAAGAATAAAGCTTTAACTATAGCCACGTGGATGACTTTTATTGGAGGGAGATTTTTCCTTCCACACCACCTGAAGACCCTCTTCCCACTATATATGAGGACTCATTGGTTGCATTACAATGGGTGGTTTCCCACCGGAACGGTGATGGACTGGAGGATTGGTTGAACCACCATGAAGACTTGGGAAGACTTTTTTTAGCCAGTGTGAGTGCCGATGCTAACATAGCTCATAATGTGGCAATGATGGCCGGAGGCGTCGGGTCCGGGTCCTGGCCAAAAGCCGAAATTCTTGGTGTAGCGTTGGTCTATCCTCACTTCTGGGGGTCGACTCCTATCGGGCCGGAGGCATTGCATCCGGGTAAGGATGCAATGTCTCAGTTGTGGCCCTTTGTGTGCCCATCATCACCAAATAACGATGACCCGCGGAATAACCCGGTGGCGGAAAGTGCCCTAAGCTTGATGGGGTTGGGGTGTAGGATGGTGCTAGTGTGTGTGGCTGAGAAGGATTTGTTGAGGGATAGAGGATGGGTGTATTATGAGGCATTGGGTCGTAGCAGGTGGATGGGTGTGGTTGAGATCCAAGAGACAGAAGGAAAGGACCATGCATTTCATCTGCATAATTTGGAGTGTGAGAAAATAGCTGAGTTATTCAAATGGTTAGCAGCATTCTTCAGCAGGGACATACCTCATTTGCTTTGATATCCATGCACTTCAATGTAATATCACAATTTTTTAAAAAAAATGTAATTAATATCATAATTAGCCACAGCTTTTTGTGTGTGTGTTTGTGTGTGTGACACTTGGCAGTCTAGCAGTGCCTGAGACATTATGTCACATAACATGTTTGATTCAATAAACTTGGGCTTATTCAGTCGCAAAAATGGGTCCAAATAGTATAGATTTGAATATAAATTTTAGCAAAAGTTATCTCCTCATTTATATACTCTTATACTATGTTACTTGTGATATAGTCATTTTGGGCAAGTAACATAGTCATTTTGGGCTAAATAGAGGAGGAACAGATGAGCCCAATACAACATATGAAATCTTTAATCCAAGTTCAACTCTAAGTATACCTTTAATACTAACTACTCAACCTAAGCCCAACTCATTCTTATACTTTTTTATTTTTTATATTTTAATTTTTTTCCTAGTTGGGACTCTCACACACTGCCTCCACTGAGGTTCGAACCCCTGACCTCCCTTTGGAAGTAGGAGCCTTGTACCGCTAGGCCACAGATCTGTTGGTTATTCTTATACTTTTAAACTTAGGTTAGCAATTCGATCTTAGATTTTCTGGTTAGAAGTTGTGTTATCCATATGGCAAATCTCCACACTGAAAATTTAATGTAACCTTGAATTAATTTATGATTAAATTACTCTCAAATAATTTTTTTTATTTGTAAATTTTTAATAAATTACAAATAAATTCTTACAAAATTAATTCTCACAAATGTTAACATACAATAAATTAAGTTTTTACGAAAGAAGTTGAAAAAAAATATATATGATCATAATTTGAATATTATATATAATGCATTTAAAATAAAAATATACATAAAAATAATATTAGAATTCGGGTTCAAGTTCAGGTTGTTAGGGCCTCAACTTAAATTCAATCACTCAATCCTAATTAAGTTTAGGTTGAGAATTTTCGACTCAGGTCTAGCTCTAATTGTAAAAATAATTGCCTAAGTTTACCAAAACTCAGGTTGGGTTCGGGTTGTCCAACCCAAACTGCACCCCCTAGTTTTGGGTTGGGATATGAATACCCAGCCCATTGTTTTTACAAAACAGACACGTAAATCAAGGGACATAAACCCATTACAAAGCAACATGTAAATTTTCCAGTCCTATAACCAGCCCCCAACCCAATTGGCTATATTCAAAAGTTAAGTAGCCCGTTACAATGGTAAGCTAATGACTAACTTAAATTGGACCCTTACAACGGAATGCTTTACAGGCCCAATACTTTAGCTAGCTCGAATGGAATGCTTTCCACCCTACACTTGGGTTGAAGTGTTGGGCTTATGTATCACAACCCTTTCAATAAATCACCTTTGGAGAGACCAAAGTTAGGTCATGGTGGTAAAGTTCTAGTGGGCGTTTGAGATTTAATTTTTTTTTTTATTTTTTTGGTTGAACACTAAAATGGTATAAAAAGGTTTTGCTAGACTAATTTAAGGTGTAACTGGATTGCAGATGATAATATCTTATGAAATTCATGTCTTTAATATACAACCTTAATTTGATGCTATTGAAGGATTATAACCTTGGAAGGAAAAAAAAGAAAAGAAAAAATTTAGATGGAAGGGTGGAAAGAATAGATGAATGAGACATCTCTGAATAAGAGATTGCGTCAGTTTTTTTGTTTTGTTCAGTTGAATAGAAGAGAAGAGAAGAGAATAAACTTATAATTTATCATGTTGGTTAGGATAGAAGAGATCAAATAAAGAGTTTTAAATTGTTTTTAGCATTATACCCATCCTGTAATTTATAGAAGATGGTATTGTAATTTAAATAATGTATAATCTACTATAGTATTGTAATTTAAAATTTCTACAATTACCCCACCTATCTTCTTTTCCTTTTTCTCCCATATTTAGAATGATTAAAATTCGTAAAAGAGGAATGATGAATCCCTCCTATTACCATCCACTTCGGATATGGCCCAGCGATTTACTCACTGGACGTTGGAGCTTCGCAAGGCTAAGGTCTGGGGTTCGAGTCCCACTAGGTGTTCTTTGTGGCTAGCCTACGCTGCCCCTACAGTGACTTACCCAGCCCGGGTGGGGAGGTGCCCTTCCGGGTCATCGGGGATTAGTTGGGTTGTTGAGGGGCCTAAGGGTTCATGCCATCCCGGACACCCCGGGTTAATAAAATAAAAAAATAAAAAAATCCCTCCTATTACCTTTTTTCTCTCATTGTCTTATCTCTACCATTGAAGAAAGTATATTTTTCCCTTCCTATGTTCCCTCCACAGTTCTTCCTTCTTTCATTCCAAATAAAGTATTAAGATAAAATCTTTTTACATAATCTTAAGTTTGAATTGTTAAAATGGGATGTGACATTTTTTTCATAACTAATAGCTAATAACAAAAAAGGAAAATTACTTTTGCACTGAATTCATGAGTTACATTTTTATTTTTATTTTTTGAAAGATTAAGCAATTAGTATAAATAAGTAAAAATGGTAAATTGCACGGACACCTTGAGGTTTGGGTCAATGCCGCTCAACGGATCGTCAATGCACTTGTTTAAATTAATTAACAACTGCTCATTGATGTTTCAAATACCATATTTGCCCCTTATTATTTAATTCAAATATATTCATACAATATCGGTAATGTTAATTGACAATACCCCACCATTACCTAGACTAACAATACACTCACACCCTGCTATATCCCTCTTCACATTTACATCAGCTCTTTAACGTCACCATCTCACTAACACAAACACCAACACCACAAGACCAAAACTTACGAACTGTGACTCTCCGGTGACGGTGATTGAAGGACTTTATTTCTGTTCTTACAGAAGAGCCCTTCCTTGCCCACCACCCAACCCCTTTTTCCAAACCCCCTTACCTAGGACACTTGCACATATGTGGTTGTTTGGTTGAGTTCAGGGTGTACAATCCTATTGCAAAAAAGTTGGACTTAGAGACAATAAATGGGTTTTTTATTAGCTATGGAGAAAATTCCAAAGGGTTCAAGTTTTATTGTCCTTCACATAAACCCATTGTTGTTGAGGTGAGAAATGCTAGGTTTCTTGAGGATGTTGAGATTAGTGGAAGTAAACAACATCAAAATATAATTTTTGAGGAAACAAGTGATTTGGTTGATTGACCTATGACTAAAGAATCTGTACCTGTACTTCAAGACATTTCTCAAGATATTAATATGGAAGAACATGTAAATTAAGAAGTTCCTACCCACGAGGATTCCCTTCACCCATCGGTGAACCACTAACTCTCGACCAGAAGACCAACAGTTGCAATCTGGCAACACAAATTAGCGCACGCTCAGAGTAGTGCGCCTTGGCGATGATCCAATTAAAAAGTTCACCATCGACACAAAACTCTATCACCAAATTGTTGAGGCTGTTGAATGGTGATGATCATTGTAATACTCCTAATTTTAAAAGGATAGTATCGGTATTTATTTATTTGGTTTAATTGAATTTTTAATTATTTAATTGATTATTTGACTAATTGCTTATGGGTTTAATTAAATTAAGTGTTACTTAAGTATTTGATTATGTATCTATGTGTTATTTGTATTTGTCTATGTGTTAATTGTTTAATTAGATTATGTATTTAAATGGTGTTTTAATTAATTGTAAATTAAATATTTTCTTTTATTTTATTATTTTATTTTATTTTTCTTTTATGATTATGGTTAGTAGTAATGGGCCAACCAATTGGGTGGGTCCCATGGACTACTTGGATAGGAGGTTGGATGGGTATGGATTATTATCCATGAATAATTGTGTGTATATATATATATAGATATATATTATATACATATATAAAAGGGAAAGTAATTTATTAATTACTTTTACGGTAACTTGGGTAATAATATTTAATCTGATGTATGTTTTTTATATTTAAATAATAAAAATATACATAGATTTGATACGTGTTGTGTTTTAAGTTACTTTATAATATTATGGTAACTTAAGTATTATTGGATAATCCATTAATAAATAATGGGTAATTTATTAACTACTTTTATGGTAACTTGGATAGTAATATTTAATCCGATGTATATGTTTTATATTTAAATAATAAAAATATACATAGATTTGATACATGTTATGTTTTAAGTTACTTTATAATATTATGGTAACTTAAGTATTATTGGATAATCCATTACTAAATAATGGGATTATATAATTTATTTGTTTAAAAAGAATATACATAAATTATATACGTATCATGTTTTAGGTTACCTTATAATATTATGGTAACTTAAGTATTATTAGATAATCTGCTAAAAACTAATAAGATGCATATAATTTATTTATTTAATAAGGATATACATAAATTATATACTATCATATTTTAGGTTACCTTATAATATTATGGTAACTTAAGTATTATTAGATAATCTGCTAATATATAATGGGATGTATATAATTTATTTATTTAATAAGGATATACATAAATTATATACGTATCATGTTTTAGGTTACCTTTTTATATTTTTATTTATATTTTTCTTTATTAAGTTGACTTGGAATGAAATTAGGATTAGAGTTCATTTTCTTTAGCCTATATATACATAAATATAAGTCTGTAGGAGGCTTCAAAAATATAGTAGGTGATTTTACATTACAGAGAGAAAGAGTTAGAGAGAGAAGGAGGAAGAGGAAAGAAGGAGGAGAAAACCCTTTAGAGTAGAGGATTTAGGAAGAAAAAGTTTAACTTTTGATCCGAAAGTTTAAGGCAAGTTCTTTTTCTATCTCTTTCCCTTTGATTCGTGTTTTTGTACATGCCTAGGAAATTCTAGGATCTATTAAACACATAAAATTAAATAATTATGCATGTTTAATTGGATTAGAACATAGGCTTTATAAAATTGGTTCATATATGTTCTTGTGTTATGAATTGATAAATGCATGATTTTGATTTGATTTCTGGTGTGAATTTTTACATGTTTAAATTATATATTTTTCATATCTGTGAAATGATGGAACGTAGAAACATACTTAGGCTTCCTGAA